CCAGCTGTCTATAAAACAGGTATTGACTGTATATAATAACCCCAGCTGTCTATATAACAGGTATTGGCTGTATATAATAACCCCAGCTGTCTATATAACAGGTATTGGCTGTATATAATAACCCCAGCTGTCTATAAAACAGGTATTGGCTGTATATAATAACCCCAGCTGTCTATATAACAGGGATTGGCTGTATATAATAACTCCAGCTGTCTATATAACAGGGATTGGTTGTATATAATAACCCCAGCTGTCTCAGATTAATAGCTGACTTTCACTCTCTGTATTAGACTTACTCTCTCTGTATAGGACCCCAAGCAATCATTACGGCTGTATCACAGCAGCAATTAGCAGGTTCCCCATTGATTGTATCAGTCAGATATCAGGGTTTGAGCCTGCGTTTAGAATACATCCAGTCTCTCCAGATACTCTGATCTATCGGCAACTTAAAGAAAGATCGCCTTCTTGGGGGAAATAAATATTTTATACCACGAACAGAGCTAAAGCAGGGAAGCAATAATTCATGAGAACATAAAGGGACCAGGAGGAAAGACAGAGACCACGAGGATTTTAAGAGGCCAAAGGGGTTATACATAGAAAATAACCACAGCGCAGCATTCTTCATTTATTGATTTCCTCCTTTCCGAGAGGCATTCTGCGTCGTGTGCACAAACAGCAGAGTTAGAGACTACACACATAGCGATAGCAACTGTTACACTGTGCAGCTCGCCATATGTCATCGCCAACCCAGGGCCAAAGTGAGTATCTACCCCAAAGGGTATTGTAAAATACACCCAATGTAGACTGGCTGGCATGGAGTCCTCGGATGGGTGGCTATCGTCCATAATTAGGGATCCTGTACCGAGAGATGGGCAGCCTGGTGGGCCAGGTCTGATGGGTCACTAGGGATAACCCCCTCTCCCCCCCCCTTGCCGTCACTGGGACTCTCCTACTGTGAAATGTCTGTACTTTATGACTTTACATACTCTGTTCATACACATATCATACATCTCTAATTCCAAAGGTTTTACATGTTTTAAAATGTTAGCGCCATCTATTGGTTGATATGTTTTATTTTCCTTACATATAGTCTCTCTTGCCACCTAAGGGTTGATTTTTATTAGTTTTGGATTCTCTGTATGTCTGGAGAATAGTTGTCATTATCAACAGCCAGGAGCTATAACAAACACATTTCTTTGTATCTGTGTTGTGTTCAGTACCAGCTCTGTGTGTATCCGTGCAATGTTCAGTACCAGCTCTGTGTGTATCCGTGCCGTGTTCAGTACCAGCTCTGTGTGTATCCGTGCAATATTCAGTACCAGCTCTGTGTGTATCCATGTCGTGTTCAGTACCAGCTCTGTGTGTATCCATGCAGTGTTCAGTTTCAGCTCTGTGTGTATCCATGCAGTGTTCAGTACCAGCTCTGTGTGTATCCATGCCATGTTTAGTGCCTTACATGTTGTATGCCAAATGTAACATCTTTACCATATTTTATACCATGAATTCCGGGCTACGTCCCAGCGTCTCCAATAAATATAATTATTCATAAGCTGTAATTTGTATATTAGACAAGTCACCAACTGGGAAAAGGATTGCGGACACAGGTTGGGGAGTGCTGCCAAGACCAGGCAAAGCGAGGCTGCCAGCCAAGATTAGGCACAGAGAGAGTGACGATCAAGTTGTAGAGAGTGAAATAGACAAAAAAAACAGAAAGAGAAAAAATGAGACACTAGACGATGGTGGGAGCTCAGTGAGACATAATATAGTATTAGAGCGATGGAGAAGGGACAGGGTGGGTTTCAGCCATTCACTAACTGGGGATTGTGGATACACATCGCTGAGTGATTGAACTGGAAAAAAATCAGTTCAGCTATATTTAATCTAAAGTTTGAAATCTCATTAAATGCCCAAGTATAGAAACAGAATGGAAAAATAGTATGCGATGGCAGTTACACTACAGACAGTGTGTACAATTACGCCAAGCATCTGTTAGATCCTGTAAATTGTCCCAGGAGTAAACTCAGTCTGCTCAAAGCTCTCGAGTCTTTTCTAGAAATGCCTAAAAGGTTGTTTCATATAGTCAGAAATAGTAAAACAAGTCGTAAAGAACCATGAGAAATAACTTGCAATCCATAAACTGGATGAGTAGTCGTCCAGAGAAACTGCAGAAGTGGGTCTTGCCATGTGTGGGGATATTTATGGGTAATAATATTAAGCAGTCGAGAATTGCCCACTGTTTCAATTCCCTTAGATCTTAGAGATTGTTTATCAAATAAGTGAAAAGTATTCCATAAATAATTCACAATCTGTTATAAAAATAGATTTATTTATTGTAACAATTAATTAACAATAATATTAGGCAGCATGCATGATATTAATCAGTGAATATTTAGTACAACATAAGTATACAATACAATGGAATGGCTAACAGCATTTTCTGTCTCTTAAGATTCATGAGGGTATCCTTACACAGCGAAAGTAAAGCTTTTCACAGCGAAGAGCCATAAAACCCTGGCTAACAGTTAAAACAACTGAATAACCCTTTCAATGCTGGCTAGATCCTCCTAGGCATATAGTATCCTATTCTCCTGTGATTTTCAATTAAAATACATTTAAACCATCTCATTAATCATTTCCTGGAACCATCCAATAAGAATAATCCACCAGATTCTATAAGCCAAATTTTAATTTGCCTAAAAAGATATCTTATCTTATATTAGAGCAAATCAATACACCTGGATAAAAACAGCGGTATGCTAACACGTGATAATATCACATTAATATATAATTATTCTTAATTCCACCTGCAGAATGGAATGTTTATAACTATATATTCTTTAGTTAACTAAGATTTCCAAATATTGAAATCTGACCGTGATTTATCCATTCATATATCATGCTATTAGTAAATTTAAATTAATTTAAATTAATTAAATAAAACCAGCATAATTACCAGTTATGTAGATATTCTCATCAGATGAGTAGATAGTCCCAGAAACTTGATTGGTTGTATGTAGGTGCGTGAGTGATAGAGAAAAGTGGTGTTGGTTAGAAAGTCCGATTATAATTCTAAGTGTTAAGAGTTTTAAGAGTAGAGTGTTAGTCTCATAGATTGTTTCTGAGTCTCTCTCTCTGCATGTTCGAATCGGAATCCCCAAACTTCAACTCCTCCCTCTGTATCTCTCTGTATATCAACTTTTCCCTTTGTCCTTACTTTTAAAGGGCCAGACTCTCTGTACGTCATTAGTTGATAAACCAATAGGAAGCCGTAGGTGGATTCAATCGATGGATCGCAATTTAGGTATTTGATCCATAGAGGGCAGTCTCGTCTAACTAATCCTTCTTATCCAGGAAAGAGTTAACTTTTCCTGATGACGATTTTGACGTCATTTGGCTTATCTAAAATGACTACCATAACTTAGATTTGCTGTCAGTTCAAAGCGTTTGTCCCAGCCTTTGTGGCAACTACTTTGATCGTAACATGTAAAATTGACAGTTCTAAACTCAATTTCAGCCCTTACTTACAATGGAACCTTGTAAAATTTAGAAAGTAAAATTAATTACTTAGTCTTCTCTGTCACTAGTGTCTGTGTTTAGATAACACATTCCTCAGTGGTTAGTGAAAGTAAGAAGAAATCAAGAAAATTATGTGTTTTTGTTATCCTGAAGATAGCAAAATGGAGTTCGCTTTGTTTTGAGTGACTTGGGCAATATACACATTTAATTTCTTTTTAGCACAAAATGTCTGTTGATATAAATATTCTGACACATGGAAGTAACCGATCACACTGAAAGGAAACAAAAACGAGTCAAAGACTTCTAAAAAAGGTACGTTGTCCATCTTACAATGTAATAAACTTAAATTAAATCAGGCTAAATAATTCTAACAATGGAAACAATTACGATAAAAGTAATGATAATAATAACAGTAGATGTGCTTTCGCTATGCAACATTCCAAACCTAAATCCTTACAGTGAAAATGACAAACCAAAGAACAGAAAGCCAAGGGTGGGAAGATATTCACCTCCTGTCATTACTAAAATTAAGATTGCAGGTACACTACATTAGCATAATCTACAATTCTATCACATGACAGGAGGCGAATATTTTGCATTTTTAACGCTGAGGATTTAGAAAAGTGAAAGAAACATGAGAAGATTTTTTATTGTAAAACACACAAAAGAACTTTAACTTGTGGCTTGGTGAATGGTGTCGGGAGCAAGGATTTGGCTTTATTTCTCATGGTAGCTCTGTTTGGAATGGAGATAAGCTGTACAAAAAAGATGGTTTGCATCTTTCTCAAAAGGGAACAAATGTTCTCAGTGAGCAGTTCAGAGGTTTTGCTAGGATGTATTTAAACTAGGAGGGGGGGGCAAAAGGGTGATAAAACATCAATACAATTGTCCCCCAAAACAAGGACAGAAGGTGCCTGTAGCAAGTGTGTTAAAAAATGATAAGCTTAGAGTCATGTCTACAAATGCTCGCAGTTTAGGGAATAAGATCCATGAACTTGTGGCAATAATGGCAACTGATAGTGTAGATTTAGTCGCTGTTACTGAGACATGGTACAATGAGAAAAATGACTGGGACATAGCAATACCAGGGTACTCTTTATATAGGAAAGATAGGGAAGGCAAGAAAGGGGGAGGGGTGGCCTTGTATGTGAAGGATAGCATAAAATCTAGCCTAATAAAAGTTAGTGAGGCAAACATAGAGTCCGTTTGGGTTACGTTAGAATTTGGTAATCACACAGTAACTCGTGTAGGTGTGATTTATAGGCCCCCAGGACAAATTGAAGAGTTAGATAATCTACTAGTTGAGGAAATAGCTAAAATGACAATGAAGGGGGAAGTTATCATCATGGGTGACTTTAATCTTCCTGATGTAAATTGGAAAACAAAATTAGCTACTTGTGCCAGGAGCACACATATTCTAAACTCCCTACTGGGATTGTCTCTAAAACAAGTTGTTGAGGAGCCAACTCGTAAAGAGGCCATACTAGATTTAGTGTTAACAAATGGAGATTTGGTATCAGATATTACTGTAGGTGAAAGTTTAGGATCCAGTGATCATCAGTCAGTGTGGTTTAATATAAGAACAGTGACTGAGTCACACCACACAAAAAAAAAGTTTTAGACTTTAGAAAAGCAGACTTTTTTTTTTCTTTTTTGCCAAACTCCGGAACGGAATATAAGGAAATGCTCCAAACTCCCGAACAGAGAATCATACGAACTCCTCCTCTCCTGAAACAGGCGAAAGAATACTCCAAAGTAGCAATCCCCCCAAACACGAGACCAAGCTCCGTCTTGAGGGTAAAACAGGAATCTGCTTTAATGATGGCTACCTGTCCGGTATTTATGCAGGTCTCCCACCTGGTGGACACTCCCCTACGGGACCAGATGGAAGACTGGGACAAGTGGGATACATTAGCCAATCACAGTGGCTCAGACATAAACCCTCCCCTTTGTACAAACAACCCCTCCTCTCTATCCTGGAGATAATTGGGAAGAAATCCAATTATCTCCACGGATAGAGGCAAAATGACATTTTAAATAATACAGTAAAAATACATAAATTTCCATAACTTCAAAACTACCGAATGCATTCCATACATATAACGTATCCCCAGATAGCCTAGATCTGAGTGCACATTATTACCGAATGGCGCTCATATCCAATACACACAGTTCAATCGCCATGGAGCCAAAGTCTTTCACACTGTTCTTTCGGTATACGAAGGGCTCCATGGGATGGCTATCTGGGTTAAGTCCATTCGTGAAATAAAAAGTCCCAAACGGACCGGTGTTCGTATGCCGGATGACAAAGAATGAAGGTCGGCAGTTTTCAGCGGTGTTTGGGAGAAAAAGTGTCCGGTTTGAGTTCCATAATTTTTGTCGACGAACACCGCTGTGTATTCGGGCATCTAAGATGGCCGCCGCCTCATGGTCGGCATACGAACGACGACCACCCAGCATACGGTTTCAATTAGGAGGTGTCTGCGGTTAACCACAACGTTCGAATTGGGGCCAATAGGTTAACCAGCAGCACACTCCTCTTCTGGGTGGCTGGCCGTTTGGCAGTTTGTTCGGTAGATTATCAAACAAACGAACGGGGAAGTACGGACAGGCAATTACACGAATCTACCGGGAAAGCACTATAGTTCTAAGACAGAGGGATCTGTCACACACAACATATAGTGTATTCCTGACACTATATTCCTGAATTTGCTGTAAGTGATTTTACTCACACATTTTCTCAGTTAGTCTGAATTGTTTTTTTCTGAATTGTGTGGATGAAAATCATGTTAACAGAAATGCCACATGAAACCCGAATCACTCTCAACAATTTTTTTTCTCTCAGATGAATTGATTCTGGCAAATCAGTTTGTTTATTATGCACAAGTCTACTATTTTCCATTAATACCTTCACCTAGAGCATCATGGAAAATTTACTGAATTGTACAAATTACAGCGTCAAAAATTAATCCTCTGGGACTCTACCCCAACAGAAACCCAACACGAGCTTCACAAATCTGAGATTCGTGTTCCAGCTGCTATTTGGAACTCTCTGTATACAATGCACAAAGACTCCCAGATCCTGGAATAAAGTGATATGCATTGAGTGATATCACACCCTATATACTACATGATGATGGACATCCGTAAAACATCAATATCTGTGAAACATGGTGGAGATTGGACATGGTATCGGCAGCCATTTATATTAGGACCAATGGTCTGTCTGTCCATCTGTCTGTCTGTTATTATGTTTGCCTCTCTGTTTGTCTATCTGTCTGTCGGTCTGTCTGTTTGTTTCTGCTCAACTGAACTTCTGTAGGTTCTTTACAACTTGATTTATTAGAACAAATCACCAACCGGGGTAAAGATTTAACAGCAATATTTACACAAAGTAATCCCTGGATGAAAATCTGAAACGGTTTGCAGTGTTTACAGTGAAATCTAGTGTCTTTATGTCAGCGTTCTTTAACAGGAATTTGCATGGTGTCATGACCGCGTCAGATCTATAGATATTGTAGATCAGTGAGGAATGTTCAGCGCCCATTGCTGCCCTATAAAGAGACTAGTTTTCATTATGGGGGTCTGGTGGGGATTACCAGACACTTTTCCAATGGATTAAAAGCAACATGTCTTTTAATCAGATCAATAGTTAATTAGAGCCACATGCCGCCTGCTTGGAAATGTTTATGTGAACACAGAAAAAACACTATCTGTTCATTAGAGACTCATTAATCTACATTTACACCTTGTCCACCAGGAAAATGGTTACATGATACCGCACATTCAAAGTGTTAGACATACAGAGGACATGGGAGTAGTACAAACAGAAAAATTATATCAACCAACTGGCCAGCCATTATCAATATTCAGACTGATTTTATTGATTTGTTTTTTAGGAAAGTGTG